GGGGGGGGGGGGGGGGGCTCTGCCCACCTCTGGGCTCCCCAGGTGCACCAATCCTCTTTTGAAGGGGCAGAGGGTCGACAAGTAATCCATACTGGCAAAGGAGGAAGAGGAGAAAGGGTTAACGGGTCACTTTAGTAACGGGAATGGGCGATCCAAAAGGGGACAAGCACAGCGAAATGAAGGCGGAGAAAAGGAAGGAAGGAACGGGTGGATTGACCAGCTTTGTCCTTCCCAAAGAACAGCAGAGGCTTGTAGACGCACAAATGGCCCACCACTCTTAAGGGCCCCTCTTTAGAAACAACAAGTTGGTTTGTTTCCACCGAACGGAATCGCGCGGCTACGAACGTCCTCCTCTCCCCTCGCATCGCTCAAATGGAGGCTTTCAAAGGGTTAAAAAAGCATAACATCTCCGGCCTCGAAAACCATAGGAGGGTCAGGGTTGGAGGAGAGGAACGGCGGCAAAGTCACAGTGGCAAGAGATTACAAAGTAGCTGGATGGGCTTGCATCAGTAACTTCCCACCCCTCATTTTACCCATGTCATTTACTTTATTCCGCGGCAGGTGCGTTCCAAAAACAAACACACAAAAAACTTTGATCTGATTATTGCTGAGCCCTTCAATGCCTACTGCCCCCCAAACCTCAACCTTTTATTTCCTCCGAAGAAGAAACCTACAGTTACCCCCATGCCTCTTACCATAGACCCCTTGTCCCCTGATGTACACCGGGACCAGCGAGATGAATACAAGCCAGAGAGTCTCCATCTTCAAGACAGAACCTTCATAGCCGGCGAAGAATAGAAGCCAGACCCAAAGGCAGCCCTGGCAGCCTCAGATGGTGGATCCAAGAAAAAGGCGAGGAGCGTCTCCCGTAAAAATAAAAATCCCCGTTTGCAGCACCCCACTTTCCGCGGCCTTGAAGCAGGGGAGGAATGCAGCTCCGGAGGAGAGCAGGCGCCGGCCACAGGGACGCCTCAGCCCGGCTGGCGAACTCGAGTCAGCCAATCTGCCTCCCGGGATGCTCTCGCTCTTCTCCTAACAAACGCGCACACAGTCAGTTGGGACCAAGTGAAACCTTATCCCTCCCCAGACCCGGAGTTGCGGGGAGGGGGGGAAAAGGTGCGAGGGAAAGCAGGCAAGCCAGGGGTCTCGTTGCCCCGTCCTCCTCTTCCCAAGCTCCGAGAAAAAACAAACAGAGCCTCACTCACGCCCAGATGCACAAAACAGAGAGAGGGGGGAAAAAAGAAATGGAGGCTTTCTTAACCGAACAGATAAAAAGGAGCTAGGAAGCAGAGGCGATCCAGCGGTGAAGCAAATCCAGAGAAACTTCGGCGATTCTGCCCTTCGGCGGTGCCCCAATCTTTTCAAGGCGGGAGAATCATATTTGCGCAGAAAGAAACGTCAAGTGCTTTCTGAACGCTCCAGCTTCCCAAACTGCCTGCCAACTGGGGCCAACTTGAAAGAGACAGCGAAAGACACAGATACGGGGCGGGAGGGGGGCGCTTAGCTAATAAGCCTCTGGCTGCAACCCCAGTAACAAACAAGGGAAGCGAGGAGGAGGAGTGGGTGTGCGCGAGTGGGGGAGAAACGCAGCAGCTGGGGCGAAAGGTAATTCTCACTTTTTCTCGCCTATAGCTGTTTTTTTCTTCTCTCCCTTCTTTTCCTGGAGCAGCACCGGCTTTGAAATTAATTAAACGCAAAGACGAGTCTTCTTGTGCAGCTACTCCTATATTCCATATAGGAATATTTATATTAAAAAACAAAACAAAAGTTCTTCGCTTCTTTCAGCCGCCAAGCTGATCTTGCTCAGCTGCAGTGTCCCGCCTCGCGCCCATCAAAGCCGCCTTGCTGAAGCAAACAATCAACCCTGGGCTTTTCTGCCCTCTCCACCCCCTTCCGCTCGCTTTGTCCAGTTCGTAGATGCGACTTTTCCTCCTCCTCTCACAAAGTTTCCGCACGCTGAGTGATGGTATAGTAGCGGTTAAGACTTGCCTCTCTTCCTTTACTTTCCCTTGAGTTGCCAGACATTACAATCAGCCTTCGCTGCTCTTCCTCCTGAAGGCGGGGAAGACAGGTATTTTCTAACTGTAACTTCGGGGAGCAAAAGAATAAGGAACTTTCAAAAAGTGGCTTTTAACTTGAAAAGCAAAGGCTGCTCTGTAAAAAGGGCGTGTCAAGCGCCGGCTCCGCCCCTCCCTAGAAGAATGCTGCCTTTTTAAAAAAATGGCCCGCATGCCACAGCTGCAGTTCGCCGCCACTTGTGGGTGAAAATTGTTACCGCACGCGCCGCAATTCAGTCGCAGGCTCGCTTGGATTTCAGACGTACGACCGGTGAGGCGGACACTTAGCTCTAAGAATTTAGTTTTTCTCCTTTTTTTAAACTGGCTTCCTTCTCCAAACCACCACCTTTGTCCGTATTTCCTGGATGCCTCAGAAAAGAGCTCTCTCCCGAGCGAGGGGAACCTTCTAATTGCGGCCTCTAATTAAATGTGTAAGCCTGCAAGATTTATCTGCGAGTCATGTGTATTTCTTCCCCTCACTTTTTCCCGTTTGATTCCCTCTAGTTAAGAAAGGCGGGGGAGGGGGGAACCAATTAAATCCTCTGAGCAGTGCTTGAGCGGCGTCCTGCCTCCGACCCAATTCCCCCGCGCCTCGCTCGAAACCAATTAGAAAACAAAACAAGGCTGAGCAGAAGATGGATCTATTGCCTGGCGGTGGCTTTCTTCCTCTCTCCTCCTTTGCTTTCGCAGTCCTCCTTTCTTCTTTTTCCTCTCTTCCTCCGCAAAGAAATACCAGGAACCTGCTGCAGTTTTTCAGCCATCCTAGAAAGAGCAGACGATTTCCCGGTACCCAGGCTCGGTCTTGTGAACGGAGACGAGGGAGCTGAGCCAGCGAGACGGACGAGCAGCAGCCGGGCTGGGCAGCAGAGCCAACCATATAGGATTGGTTTGTATTGGGATAGCGTTAGGAGCACGTGGGCCGCGTGGGAGCACGCATGGTGCGCAGCTATGTTACACACATGCTGTTGGCGCGCGGGTGTTGCACGCTGCCTTTTTCTGCACGAGGAAGCGCCCGTCCGTGCCCCCTTGCCTGACCATTGGAGAGGGAGCGCGCGTGCGTTCCGCTCAGCACGCATGTGTGGAGGGGTACACGGCATGTCGCTCTGGCCCTGCTGCGAGGGCTTTTATCCCGGGGCCGCTGAGGCCATTAGGTATGTTGTTGTTCTTACGTGGAACCGTAGCAAGCGAGTGTAGTTTGGAGGCAATGGGGCGTTATTTGCGCTTTCCATCTGCTGCGAGGCACTTTCACGGCGGAAATCGAAGCTCCCCATCGCGACCGGGGGAGACAAACAACTTCTCCAAGAATCGAGAGAGATGGCTCAGGACACTCAGCAAATCCCCCCAAGGGGCGCATTGCTGGAAGCAGCCGGAGGTGGAGTCTCTGTTTAAGATGGTCCTTTTTTTCCTTTTTTTTCTTTTGCCAGGATAGAGCAAAGGTCTGTCTGCCCATTTCCTTCTGGCTTTTGAATGGCTTTGCCCACCCTTGTCAGAATTTTACTGGCAGCTGAATTTCTCCTTAAGGTGTGAAGCTAACACACACTTTTTTTAAAAAAAAATTGTAAATTGTATCTGGCAGGCTGTCAGATTCCCACCAACGTGATCTAAGCCAGCCTTCCCTCATATAGTAAGCTCCAAATGGACCAGGAGAGAACAACTCTTGTTCTCAGCAAGCATGGTTGTTGACTCTGCTGAGACATGCTGGGGACTAGAGGCAAACACAGCCCCAGATTAGAAAAGGATGGGCTGGCATTAGCCAGAGGCATTCGAACTACAGCTCATGAGAACCTCAGCTAGCAAGAAATGGTCACCTGTGAAGAATGACAGGATAAATTGGATATAATCATGTTTATTTCTGATCCTAAGAATGGTTAGAGTTACTGCCCAGTACATCTGGAGGGTGTCATGTTGGGGATCAGTGATCTAGAAAAATGATTCTTCCTCAGCTTCCTTTTAGCTCCCTTACACACTTTCTATATTCCATGTTCATGTGGGAATGGGTATTAAACTAAATTTCCTCAAGGCACATGGGTTTAATTTGCACATTTACACTGAGATTTCCTTTGAAGATTCTTGTAATAGAAAGATAGGGCAAAGGTGTGCAGACAATGCAAGTGAGGCTTTTAAAATATTTAAAATATTAATCTGGAAAGGTCTTGCCCTCCTGAAAATGATAATAGTTCTGTTAAGTTTTACTCCTTATCCAAATACATCTCCTTAAATAATTGAGCTCCCATCAGCTCACCCTTGTCTTAAAATAGCACTATAAAGCATTATTTTCTCCCAGCACATAAAACAGATTTGAGCTACCTGCAAGTAATGAGGAATGCGTATATTTCAGCATGAAACCTTGTGGTGATGGGGAAAATGGGACTCTAGTGTTTATTCTTTCTACTGAACTTCTTGCATTGAGGAAATTGATTCTTATTTTGATCATTGCGTGGTTGAGTAGCTGGAGGTACATTTGATATACAGAGATTTCTCCTCTCTTTGTCTGGTTCTGTTGCAAGCAGCTGCAGTAGCAGCCTCCTCTCCTCTTACACATGCAAAAAGCAAGACAAAAGGCAGTGGAGGCTGGGGTATGACAGAAATGTCCCTCTAGGATCCTTTCTAGATGCCTGTCTCCATTTTGTCTCTGTTCAACAGTGAGTTCCTGGTGGAGATGGAAGGATCCCTTTCAGTCTTTACAAATAAGCAGAAACATTCTGTCCTCTTCCTTGCCTGCACCAAGCTTCACCTTTGGTGAAAATTCAGGCTGTCTCCTCTTTAAGGTCTCTCATTACCCCCTTTCCTTATTTCATGAGGACGGAATGAAGCTATCAGGGTAGATACCTCTGGGAGATGCACATGTGTACAGGCAAGTTGTTGGAGCCAACAGAATAGCAACAACAACAACTTGTATGCTGCCTGACTCTCAATGATTCAAGCTGGATTCAGAGGTTTTCCAAAGCAGGAGGCCCTGCCTTACCCTGCCTCTAGCCAGAGTGGAGTGGCTGTTTGAAGCAGCAGTTCTTGGCCAATTTTAAAGGGCATCCCATTATAAAGCTACCATAGGCAAGCTGGAAAAATCTAAATCATTAGATGGCAACAGAAACCTCTAACTTTGCTGCAGCTAATGGTTGACTGGCTTCTGCAGCCCAGATATATTAGCCCTACATATTCTCAGTAGCCAAAGGGCTATCTGGGATTTTCTGCCCTGAGTGCCCAAATCTCTTAACGTTGCCTTGCAAGGCACTTTGTATTCATTTTTGTAAGGCAAGATTTATAGTGACTCTGCAACTGACCTGTTGGAAGTTTTTGTTGCAGACATGCAGTATTGTAATAAGCCATTTCTGTGTCAGTTCAAATATATTTCTTAATTTCATTTATATTTCATTTATGTCCTGCCTTTCTTATGTGAGGCTCAAGGCAGGGTGAAGGGGATTTCTAAGCAGCACCAAAGGCATGGTTGTTGCATCCTGAGGCACCAAAGCTTTCCCCTTATTTCTTCTCACTATGTAACATTTACAGAGAGAGAGAGAGAGAGAGAATAGTACTGTGTGCTAGGACTTCCTAGCTTTCCATGGATTTTATCACTTAATGGTAGGCTTTTGAGTTATACCTTTATATACAGCTGTTCTGGAAATCAGAAAAGACACATTGGACTTTGTCTTAGTACAAGACAGCTTGTACTGTCTCTTTGGATAATTGTTCAATGGATTTTCCATAGTCATATTCATATATATTTATATCTCAACAGGATCTGTGTTATGTAGTTATCAGCAGTTCTATAAAAGGGGTTGCCATATATCATTACAGAACGTAGCTGCCTCGACAATCATGCCTGTTAATACATCACTGTGTACAACGGCCCACCTGCTAGGGGGTGTCACCACCATTGCTCTCTGCTTCATCTTACTAGATCCAGCCTGCCTGAAAGGAGATGTGATACCCGAGGTGGGGAATAATGTATTTCTTATTGGTAGACTGAGAGGTATTGATTTACTATGAACAAGAATCACTCTCCCAGTTATAAAGAGTTATGGCCCAGCCAAGGACTGGTTACTAACTCATGCTGTAACAAATAAGCAGTTAACAGACATAGCTGCTAATTAGTAAGCAGTTGCTCTAATATAAATGGCATTCAGCCATGGGAAGGAGTGGTTCGCTGACATCAGCAACAGGGAGAGCAAGAACTGTCAGAGAAGCTCTCACAAAACAACCAATTTTCCTTCAATGGGGGAGATGGAGCAGCTCAGGCTATTAACTGGGACCATATTCTTTGATAAATGAAGCTGGAGAGGGCTGAAATGATCTGGGAAAAGGCCATACTCCATGTTACTTCATATATTACATTTACAGGTATGTTGTCTGAGAAATGGTAATGATTTGCATGCCCAGGAGGAGATAGGAGGATGTCTAATGTCCACCTTTACAGAGGACTACAGGAGTTGTTTACTGTAAAATGGGCAGTGCAGCACTCCAAAGGTTGTTTCAAACAATCCTCCTTGCTGGCTGAACTGGCTATAGATTGTGCAACATCCTGAGGGTTCTCCATCTGGGGTGCAAAATATCCTTGCTACCCAATTGTAGTTAACTCAGAAGTTAAACGCTGTTAATTTCAAAAGAGCTCAACTTGCCTACGATTGTCCCTAACTGGCACAGAAGTGGTGCTATTGCATCTGCCTGCTTTAGCAACATCATACGTTGTGATATATCGGGGTAGCAGTAGATCCTGACAACCTGATCCTGCATTTAAAGGGGTATACCAAGCAAGTCTTCAAGTCGGTGCTCAAATCAGAGTAATTGCTTGACAAGTATTGGAGAAATGGAAAACAAGACTGGTTGCATTCATGGAATTGTGCTAATATTAATCAGATGCAAAAAGGGAGACCTGTGGCCTTGCAGGGTTGTTTATTTAAAGTGTGCATCCTGCTTTCATAGTCTACAGTGTGGATTATGTAAATCCAACTAGTACCCATATTCCAGATGAGCTAGGGTAAGAGAAGCAAGGACACTCTGTACTGTGGGATATGCTTCCTCCTGAGATTCGATTGGTCCCCTTC